ACACGTGTGGTATCTTGCACATCGCTCGCACGCCTTCATCACCACTCATTTTGCCACGTATGAACAGATGATATCAGCAGGAATCTTTTTGATTTTCAGCTAAAAATGTTTTATCTCTTAATTAAAAATCAAATTAAAAATCCGTTTTCGCCATTAAATCGGTCTCGATGAAATCTTCAAAACTAGATCTCATGTTGATATGTTTCGATGATTTTTTTTTTTGCCCAAAAGTTGCGGTGATGTTTACACTATAGTTGTCATAGTGCTTAAACTAAAATTGCCATGTGACAATTTTAGTTTGTATAGCATGGAAATTTTAGTTTTTTGTTGATGGCAATTCCAGTAGTTTGACCATCAAAATTATTAATCATGGCAATTTTAAGTGCGTGTATCATGGCAACTTTAGTTTATGGTTCATGGCAAGTCTAGTTTCTTAATTCCCGACTTATAATATGTCAAAATTTATTTTTCAATGTAGAAGGAAATAGCTGAAACATATCATGGCAACTTCAGTGTAAACATCATGTCAATTCATGTGCAATAGACATGACAACTTTTAATCCAAAAAAATTCATCAAAATATATTGATATGAGATTTAGTTTCGAAGATCTCGTCGCAGGGAATTTAGTGGTGCAAACGGATTTTCAATCGGATTATTCATTTAACAGATGAAACATTTTAAAAACTGAAAATCTAAAAAGATTCTCACATGCATGCATGCGGTGACATGGCGCAGTCTGTGTGTTATAGGACGTGTGAACGGGTTTGACTCCCATCACACGTATGGACGTTAGCGTTGTCCTTGATTGAAACATTTGAAGTAGAATCAATGATCGTTTAATCAGACACTCTTTAAAAATTGAGCAATCTAGTATATATTTTTCTCTCTTTATTGCAACGCACGAGCATGTTTAAGCAAAATACAGAAGCTTGCGCATGTCCCCCGTGGAAGGTTGGCTGGTGCAGATGGCGGAAGTACCTGGGCTGAAGGGCCGTTCCGAATTTGCCGACAGATACACGATCAGGCACGCAAAGACCGCGTTCCCACGCCGTGGAGGTGCGCAGCCTGGCACCAGACAAGACGCATGCGGCCTTCGCACAGGCCAGGCGAGGCGACCATCGTCGGCGGTGGCGTCACGCGGCCGGGCGCGGGAACGCTCCGTGCGGGACCAAACGAGCCAACATCGTCGGCTACGGCGCTATGAACCGTGTCAGCCCAGTCACGATCGCCGTGTGTCCCGCGCCCCCGCCGCACACACATCAGCGGGCCTTCTAGAACCAACCCCGATATTGCGGCCCACACTCGCCGACGGGGTGGGCCCACGCGTCATAACCCAGGATTCCTCGCGTCGGCGTGCGTATATAGATCTCAGCCCAGGCCCCAGAGAGACACAGGACGTGTACCCCAAGAACCAGAGAGCCAACCAACCCAACCCCTGAGCATCTCCGGCCACGCATCGGCTAAGCACACGCAAACAGCCGCCCCCACGATACTCACGAGGCTCCTTCCCCTCCGTGCGCTCTCTTGTTTCCCCCATCCCATGGCCACCCCAACCACGACGCCGGCGACGATGCGGGCCGTGCAGTACGACGCCTGCGGCGGAGGCGCCGCCGGCCTCAAGGTAAAGAGTTACTATTCGCGGTAGCGGGTCGAAGCTTTTTAGTATGCTTTGTGTTCTGGTCGGCGCGCGAGATTGGTACGTTGGTGCTAAGGATGATTTGGCCGATTCACTGGCTAATTGACTACAGTTAGTACAAAGTATTAGAGTATATATGTTAGTTTTTTCCAGGGAACCCCTTGGTGGTGGAGATCGCAGTCAGTTCACCTGAATCCTTTCTTTTGAATTGTTTTTCATGGCAAGACAAGTAGTCAAGAAGCTAGCTTGCTTACTCAAGTAATAGAACTTTGCTCTAGCGGCTTTTGCTGTATAATTTGTGATGGGCTATTGAGTATTTTAGTGGTTTCTATGGTGGTGATGTGTTACACTAGCTAGATTGATATATTCTCTCTTTCTCGTGTCTACTTGGCTTTAGGAGTGGTTAAGATGTGTTACAGTGGAATTAGTTAAATAGGTCGCACATACCTGCTGTGGGATGCTCGGAAAAGCACTGCACAATAGTTTTTGTATTGTGACCCATGAGTCAGCACCCCTGGATCCCAAACATATTCCGATGACGAGTCAGTCGGAAATTTATTATTTGAAAGTTGCACATGTCTGGTGTTAGATGATTGGAAAAGCACCGGAGATGATTGAGATGACCAAGTCAGTTGTGTGAGCTCTGATTGTGAGTCAATCGGTCGACAGGGGATTCTTTTCACAAGAACCCTATTTTAGACTAGAGATCTGCCTGACAGCTTGATGCTTATACTGCTTAATTAATTAACAAACAAATCAAATTAGTTTGTTTTAAAAAAAACAAAGGAGAACAGTAAACATGATATTTCCTTCTTCCATGAAGATGAACCAGTAGAACCTATAAACCTGTGATTCTGACATCTCTCTAATGCAGCATGTAGAAGTCCCCGTCCCTTCTGCAAAGAAGAATGAGGTCCTGCTGAAACTGCAAGCTGCAACCATCAACCCAGTTGACTGGAAGATACAGAAAGGGGACTTGAGGCCTCTGCTGCCTCGTAGACTGCCTTTTATCCCAGGTAACTATCCTCATTCATAGTGCCACTGCATGGATGCTAGCCATTTTCTATCAACCATGGATTCTGTTTGGAGGCTTCCTATGTATAGAGAGCAAAATAGCACCAAGCGTAGTTATGAGAACGTTATTTGATCATGTCAGTCTTGCTATGTTATTTTGTTCTTCACCTTTAACAACTATCCAGGATGTCTCTTATCTGATAATCAGCTTATGATAAAGATAGCATATATGTGTGTGTGTCTGTGTGTGTTGGTCAATTCATGAAACAACTTGCTGATAGATGCATCTCTTCTCTACTGCTCCTTTTCTTGCAGTGACTGATGTTGCAGGAGTAGTTGTTGATGTTGGTCCTGGAGTGAAAGGTCTCACAGCGGGTGATCAAGTCGTCGCCATGTTGAACTCTTTTGTGAGTGAACTTCACTCATGACAACATATTTCCATGTTTGTCATCTTCATACTTAGAAAGAAGATGATTTCAGAACAAATCCGCTTCTTTAAAAGAAACAATATTGCTGTAAGCTCGTTAATGTGACAATGTCTTTGCTGTTACAGAACGGAGGTGGACTGGCAGAGTATGCTGTAGCATCCGCAAACCTGACCGTCAAAAGGCCAGCTGAGGTTTCTGCAGCTGAGGGTGCTGGGCTTCCCATTGCTGCAGGCACTGCGCTCCAGGCACTAAGGTCCATTGGTGCCAAGTTTGACGGCACCGGCAAGCCATTAAACGTGTTGGTCACCGCTGCCTCTGGCGGCGTAGGCCTGTACGCGGTGCAGCTTGCAAAGCTAGCGAACCTTCATGTTACCGCCACCTGCGGCGCACGCAACATGGATCTTGTGAAGAGCTTGGGCGCAGACGAGGTGATGGACTACAGGACCCCAGAGGGGGCGAGCCTGCAGAGTCCCTCCGGCAGGAAGTACGACGGCGTGGTTCACTGCACCGTCGGTGTCAGCTGGTCGTCTTTCCAGCCATTGCTCAGTGATGCCGGGCGAGTGATCGATATCACCCCCAACTTCTCGGCCATCCTCACATCTGCGCTGCACAGGATGACATTTTCCAAGAAGCGCCTGGTGCCCCTGCTCCTGTCGCCCAACAAGGCGGACCTGGAGTTATTGGTTGGGTTGCTCAAGGAAGGCAAGCTGAAGACGGTGGTCGACTCGAAGTTCCCGTTGAGCGAGGCAGACAAGGCGTGGCAGAGCAGTATCGATGGCCACTGGTAAGATTGTCGTTGAGATGGAGAGCTGATCGTCGTCAATGCTTCCTAGTATTAAGGACTTGCATACAGACGGTGGACGTGAATACTTAGATGTAATCATACAGACTAGTCACTTGTGCGTTTGTTTATTGGGTGATGGTTCGTTTATTCAGTTTATATTATATTATATCTTACAGTATATTATTAAAAGGGTATTGAGAACTATGAGTTGCAAAAAACTGTATGGCTATCGGTAAACAATAGCATTGTGCTGTCAAAAATACAGTTCGCTCTTTGCTGATGCTTTGTGCAACCACCACAAAGTGCTGCAGTGGTCATCTGTTGGCCAGAATTCAGAATCACCTTCAGTTTTTCTCGATCCAAACAAAGAACCATTAACCTCTGCAGAAGAACAAATCACATACTGAGAGCCCAAAGCAGAACAGTAGGGGCGTAGGGCGTCTCTTGAATATAGCAGACCAAATTAGGAAGTTCAATTCTAACGCACAGGGACTGTGATGCCTTTTAGTCATTCCCATAAAAAGAGGTTTGGTGTACTAATTTTGAGCAACTCTAAACAATTACCCAACCAGTTAATAAAAACTGAAGTTGACTTGCACAGCAAATCAAGCTCGTGAGGATACGGAGTAAACTACTGTACTCCGTCTTGTGCGAATCAGGTGACCTAGTTTATAAATAATCAAAAAGGCTAAAAATATGACATCAGATTTTAGATTGTGGCAAATCAAACTTTTTTATCAAGTTATGTCGTGGGATGACAATTTTTTAAAGCAAGCATTGCGTGCCATGCTTGCTTTAAAAAATTGCCATCCACACAACAACATAATTTGCCATGCTAAAAAATACTGATGTTCGAATCTTAACATAATATGTAAAGAAAATCCAACAACGCATCAGCTCAAAAGAATGCCAAAACTTACTAGGACTGCATCTGAATAGATTGTAATATTCTACAATTAGTAACCAATATCACCATTGCTTTCCTTGCCACAAAACAAGGAGAGCATCAATTTATGACCTGAATACGCTGACAACGACCGCACATGAACCCAGCTCACGACACACCATTTTTGTGAATCTTAGTACGTTCAACGACAATGAAATAGCAAACTTCTACCAACGCATAGCTACCAAACTCACTTTGCAGCTGCCCGGGCACCACCACGCCCACCGGTGCCAGAGTGATCAACCCGCTGGTAGCCAACATCACCTCCACGACCTGAGCCGCCTCTACCACCGCCTCTGCCTCCAAAATCAGATCGATAGTTGTTGTACTCGCCCCTTCCATAGCCTCTCCCTCCAGGGTAACTACCACGGCCTCTCATGCCTTCACCTCGGAAATTACCACCTCTACCCGGTGGAAACCTTCCCCTGCTACTACCTGAAGCCAGAAGAAAATAGCACATGTATCAATCAACTGAAGAAAAATGGCAGACACCCGTCATTAGTTTTTCAAGCAATACAGAAAATGTAGTTTGTCATATTTCAAATAAAAGTAGATTATGTACAAGCAAGGGTGGGTGCTTCAGTTTAGGTTTTAGCCACATGTGCATCAAAATAATTCAGCAATTAGATATATGTGCTTCATGTTCATCTCAGAAATTGTAATTTGTTCACAATGCACACAAAAATATGCAGAATACCAAAATGCAAAGTGGCAAGCAGTGGGCTGGAATAATATTTAATTCAAACTGGAAAAATGGAAGTGCTAATAATAATACATGTGAGATGAACACAAAAATATGTGCTTCATGTTCATCTAATAATAATTCAGCAATTAGATATATGTGCTTCATGTTCATCTCAGAAATTGTAATTTGTTCACAATGCACACAAAAATATGCAGAATACCAAAATGCAAAGTGGCAAGCAGTGGGCTGGAATAATATTTAATTCAAACTGGCAAAATGGAAGTGCTAATAATAATACATGTGAGCCAAATATATACTCCCTCCGTTCCTAAATATAAGTCTTTGGAAAGATTCCACTATGGACCACATACGGAGCAAAATGAGTGAATCTACACTCTAAAATGCATCTATATACATCCGTATGTGGTTCATAGTGGAATCTCTACAAAGACTTATATTTAGGAACGGAGGGAGTAGATATATATATACACATGTCAAACATTGAAACTTCAAGCATATCCTATATATATATGGAATTTCTCCCGAAAGACCAAAACCTTGTACATTCTTACAGTCAGGGTTGAGTTTGAACTTTCAGAAACATACCACGTGAACCAGGAGTTCTTTTTTCTTCGACGTGGCATGGTCGGTCATCAATCGTCACAGGAGAAGCCTTCAGAATAAGAGTTAATCAGATAAAATAAAAAAGCAAGTATGGAGCTTATGAAATTGATATGGGCAGTCATGGAAGTTGATTCTTTAAGAGAAGAAAATGAAATCAGAAGCACAACTAACAATCCAGGAACATGTGTGGTCCAAAATAAGCAGTGTAAACTTAATTGGAATCGGATTACTCCGGCAATGTAAACGGCATTACCAAAATAGGAAACTTGTTTGGCTTCAGCCACGGACTGTAACATAATCAATTCTTATCTTGTCTCTGGTATGCTCTGTTGGGTAAGATGCAACAAAAGAAGAAGAAAATAGATCTGGCATTGATTTAACCAACCCAATCAATAAAAGAAGTCCGATTGATCCAGCATCAATCTCACAAATAACAAAAAATGACCAAGCCAGCAGCACAGAAGAACGGAATCGAAGCAACCAAAAACCTGCACCCTCGGCTGATCCACCGCATCTACAGCAATGCCAGCTCCATGGCCTCCTCCCACCACCATGGCACAACCCAGTTCGTTCATAGCCATTCAAGTTCATGCAGGCGTCCTCACAGTAACGAATATCAGCGGTCGACACTGCTCTTTCCATGTTAGTGCTTCTCATATGGAGCGACGATGTCGCTGCTGCTTGGCGGAAAAGAGGACAGAGGAAGAGATCCAGGTGTAAGGGATGCGGTGAGTGGGATATGTGACGGAGGGGAAAGGGGATTGGGGTGCAGGACGAGAGACGAGCGATGCAGCATTTTCTGTTTCAGAATGAGGTGGGTGTAATCACACGTAAATAGAGGTGTTATCCAATTACATGGTATCCGTTTATAGCCCAACTGAACAAACATATGTAACAGACTCAAGTCATCAAAACTACAAACCAAACAAGATCTAGGATTAAGAGAGTGCGAGAACAAGTGGAAGCAACAATTAAATGTCAAGTCACATAGTAGCATATGACTAGAAATAATTATCGAACAAAAGAAAACAAGATACATTCCTCAAGAACCTTGTAAATTGAACACCAAAGAGCATGGAATAACATTCTCTACAGATAGTCAGATAGCGAACAACTCATGCATGTGTTAGGGGATTGAGAACAGGGTTTGAAAATCTCCAACTCACACATTCTCAAACTAAGTTGTAGCAGTACTTTTTTAACTATGTATACATCCATCATTCCTGCTAGCATGTCTATATTACGAGTAGGTGATACAAACTTTATCCACTAGTCAATAACTCCATACATCCATCCTTCCCTGGCGGGAAATCAAAGGCAACACCAATCTAATATACTTCCTGCTGCTCTCCATTTTCCATGATCATTTGGACCAGAAATCAAAGGCAGCAACAATCAAGTACATAAACACAATGAACTTGCTTTGTTTTTAGTAGTTTAGGTAAGACGAAGTTTAAAAAAGAGTTTCAAGGCAACAGGCATGTAGAAGGAAAAAAAGAGAAGTAAAAGACTGCTATGCTCATGCTTGTATGGTTAAACACACATCTACTGATCTACATCATCCAAAACAAACTCACTACAGGCATTCCCATTAACTACACACAGATTATGTAACTAGAATAAAAATTGGAAAGTGTCCTGCAATAACAGAGAGCAAGCTGATGATTTAGTAGGTAGACTGAAATTACCGCTAGTGCACTTTGAACTGAGCTGGCATCCTCAAACTCTATGAAGCCATAGCAGAACCCTTGAATCTGTGTTTTCAATTGATAATACAAGAGAAGATATTACAAGTTATTTTACTGAAAAAGAAAAACTCATCATCATGTTGAGAGAAGAAAATGCACCTTGTGGCTTCTAACTTGGATACCATCATGTTTAATAGTACCAAATCTTTTGAACTCCTCTTCTAATTGGCTAGGTGTGGCATGTAAGGGCAGATTTTTGACATACACCGCAAGCGCATCAACTTCAAAAAATATTGTCAAGTATTTCTGTCAGATGCTAGTGTACTAAGAAGGTTTTCAATGCAATATTGGATTTAGATAATACCTTCTGGGTCTTGAATGTTGCTGCTCTCAGGATTAGGACTGAAAGTTGGAGGATCAACAGCCACAGACAGGGCAGGAGCAGGAGCTTGCTTCTCCGGTTTTGGTGGTGCAGGCCTGTAAGGAACTGCGGAATTTGGTGGCAGAACTGCTTTCATGACTTTGACCTGGAGCAAAACAATAATGCAAAGGTAATGAGAATCTCAAAAGGTGAATTCATAAGCGAACGTACATATCATCCGCAACATCAACAAGCTTCAAACAATTCCTCAACCAAAGGCACTAGATAGACAACAGTGATGTACATATAACATGTATTTCCATTCATATTCCCCGGCAAAAGATAAAAGTAAGAAAGCTCACTAATATTTATTGTGCTCTGTAGTATTTTCATTCCAGAATCAGTTAAGCAACAACAATAACCTTAAAAGTGAGACCATAGAAGCTTCATGTAAACATTTACTCTCCAGATTTTAATAAAGCATTAAAACCCCATAAAAATTTAATTACTGATTAAACATCTTCACGCAAGATTTCAATATATGCAGAACCTGTAAAGGACTGACAGTTATATCTTTTCATTTATGCTCAGATTTAGAGACTAAGAAATATAGTAATATACACAATTTAAATGTCAGAAATAGATGATTTAGATGAAAAATAACAGTTATCCAAAACCTACAATTGAAGCGTACGACTTCTTAGGGGCCTCGTCATGTGGTACAGGGGGAGCCGAAACCGGTATGGAGGCTGCTACATTATTTGGCACTTCATCTATGACCTCAGGAACCGGTGTTTCCTCCACAACAGGCACTTCCACGTCATTCGGTGGGTTGTAAACCTCCTCCTTGGGATCCTCATCCTCGTTGGTATGAGGAACAGACTCAGAGAGATCCGGCTCTGGCTGCGGCGAAGCCTCTACAAACAGGACAATGTGCAATTTAACAAAGGATCACGTGGTTCACAAGTAAATAAAAATATAGATCAAGATGTTACACACAACGCACCCTGCTCGCGAGGCACACTCTCCACAAGGGCAACAGTACCATTTGCCAGGGCGGCAGCAGGGGCAACCACTGCATCCAACTCCGGTGCCGGCGGCTGCTGCTGAGGTGGCGGCAATGACTGGTCGGCCTCACCCTGCCCGACATAACATAGTATGTCGTTGAGCACGAAGTAACCCTTCTCCTGCGGCGCAAGGAAGAAGGACTGCGCGAACTCGCGGCAGACGTCGTCCTTCCCTGTGAGGTGGCCCGTGACGAGCACGGTCACACCGCCACATAGCGACTCCTGCGCGTCCACCCCCCTGATCTCCGCCCGCGCGATGTCCATGGACATGATCTTCTCGTTAATCGCCTGCAAGAAGAAACCATTCAGAACCGCTGAGAAAGTCTACCAACATTCTAAGGCCCCCAGATGCCCAGATCTGAACCGAGGGAACAACGGACGGGGAGTGAGCGGTACCTCCATGGTGGTGACGGTGTCCATGTCGGCGCCGGTGGTGGCGGGGCGGCCGATGCGGCTGGCCTCCTGGTAGAAGCGGAAGACGAGCTCCGGGGACTGGTGGAGGATGTTGTAGTACTGCTGCACGAAGGCGTTGCCCACCTGGAAGACGAAGACCGTACACGAATCGGGTCAGGGCAGATCGAGTCAGCTCGGCAACGGACGGATCGGGAGGCAGGGAGAGTCGCCAGCTTACCACTTGCGCCGGCGGCGTCGGTCCTGGCGCCGCGGCGGGGGCGGGGGCGGGAGCGGCGGCGGGCGGAGGCGTCGGCGCGGCCATCGTAGGAGGAGGAGGAGGGGCGAGGGTTTTGGCAGGGGGGAGGCGAGGTGCGGGAGGAGGGTTTCTCCGGGTGGCGTCGCGTTTCCCGCAAAATTTGGCCAAGGGAGGAAGAGAGGGGGAGGAGCGGCGGCGGCTGCGGGGGGTTATACGGGAATGGGAGAGTGGTGGAGGGTCGAGTGGGGTGAGGCCAGGGCTGCAGGCGCGGGGGCGAGCCCGCGGCCGTTGCGTGGGAGATTCGACGGCCGCGATGGGACGGAGCGGGAGTGCGTGTGTTCTCCCCACTGGTTTTTGCCCATTTGGGGTTTCGGCTTCGGCCAGTAACACTGATCCAGCCGGCCGCTACGGCTGGACGCGGACGTGCTTTCGGTTGCCGCGATGCGATGCGATGCGATGCGATGGTGATCTGATCTCACGCACGCCACACCGGTGTAATGTGTCAGACTAGGATTTTAATTAGATTTTGACCAGCCCCAACTCCACAAAAAGGTGGAGCCTACATTGTGTACTTGCGTCGCTCTGTTGTGATTCGTTCGGTAGTTCTTGAAAATTATTATATGCATGAAAACTATGTAAAATGTGAGGTCCACTGTCAAAAAAAATGTAAAATGTGAGGTCCTAAGTTTTTTCATTTAGTATTTCTCTTCTCTCCGCAGAATCTAATTTCATTGTGAGTTCACCGTCATCTAGATCTCTTCTTCCCTAACCCCGTCGCTCGAGCTGATAAAGGGGGTGGGGGGCTTGCGAGTTTGTCTAGCTTTGGCGACGGATTAGGGCAAAGTACAAACCACGGTTTTCTCATCTAGGGATTTTGGAGAAGTGAGAAGACAACATCAATGTCTAGCTCGTCTACAAAGCGGAGAAGTGGAGGATCTGAAAAGGGCGAGGAGGATGTGATAATCTATTTGCTAGAGCATATGGGTTTGGGGGAAAGTGAGTTCCATAATGTGGCCTTTGAGGATGAAATCAACGTCATGCGAGAGGAGATGAAGTGGATGACGGTAGCAAAAATTCATATGCAAAATCAATTCACATATCAAGCCTTCATTGCCAATATGAGCACTGTTTGGAGCCCAGTAAAGGATAACATGATAAGGGCGGTGCAACATAATCTTTTTACTACTCAATGCTTCTGTTTTGGTGAAAGGATGAAGGTCACGGGTGGAGGACAATGGTTATTTACGCAATTTCCGAGTGATGGTCAAGCCTTATGATGGCCTTTCTCAGCTACATCGATTGTGCTCAACTATCTCACGGTGTGGGCGTAGATCCATTGCCTCCCGAATGGATACATGCAAGGCTCCCTAGTAAAGATCTTAGTGACCAGGATTAACATTGTTGACAAAATTGAGATGGAGTTACAATGCATTTGGGAATTTTGTGCGAGTTATAGTGCATTTGAATGTGGCCGAGTTGTAACGATGAAGAAAAATAGAGAATTTTACCTACTACAATATGATAATATTTTGAAGTTTTTGCGCATCATGCGTTGCAAGTGTGGCACCTGGGAACGTACAAATGAGGATATGAACGTGGCCCAGAAGGTACAACAGGAAAGTGGCATGGGCGAATTCTTTTTGGTGGCAGTGGTCGAGGAGAAAACTTTGGTTTATGTGGTTGAGGCAACGATTTTGGAAGAAGGGATGGTCGAGTTAAGTTTGATGGACGTGGCCATGGTGGAAGAGGCGTCGGTGCTGGTTGGGTCAATAAAGAAGTTAGTGGTACTCCCTCCTTCCATCTATATAGGGCCTAATGCGTTTTTCAAGACCGCCTTTGACTATTGATAAAATTAATACTACATGACATGCATAATGTGAAAATTATATCATTGAAAGCTCCTTTCACATACGAATTTGATGATGTGCTTTGTGTAAGTTGCATGTCATATATTATTTCTCTAACATTTGGTCAAAGTTAGCCTCGAAAAACGCATTAGGCCCTATATAGATGGAAGGAGGGAGTATGTGTAACATCCCAAATGTAATAAACCAAATATTGTTATTGTTGTTTTTATTTAATAAATAGTTGTGCACTTCATGCATTCGTCCATGTCTTTAAAATGTTAACAAATATGTGGCATCTTAAAAATATCAGTTATTTCAATTTTATTTTTCAAGGCCTCGAACTATCTCATATCTTGGCTCCACTTCAAATCCATTTGCAAATGATTTGAATCTTTTTAAACACAAATATTTCCATTCTATAACTTTGCACATGATCTTCTTATCACATTCCTAGCCTTCACATAAAATCTCATAATTTTTGGACCCTTTCAACTCCGGCCTATAGTTCAAATTCATCTGAATTAAATATTGACAAGTTTGAAATCCAAACTTTTCAATATTTGTGGAGCCAATTTTTGTGACCCAACTATAAATCTTGGAGTCCAAGGAAATTAGTCCCATGGAGAATTTCAACTTCTAACCGTCTCTTTTCTTTTTTCCATTTTCTATCTACTTAAATGGAAAAAGGAAAGCAAATAGAAAAGAACATAGAGAAAAGAGGCAACCCACTTACCCCTTACTGTTTTTACTGTGCGACCTAGCCCACATGCGGTGAACTACTTCGGTTGGCGTCTACCTCGGTAAAAAGAGGAGGACGCATTGGATACATGTGCACATGACCACCATGGGGCCGTGTTTCCCTGCCCTCTGCATGCCCCTCCTCCATATAAACCCCAACCGTCGCCTTAGGGTTTCTCCTTACTCCACTTCCTCCTCCGCCATCAGGCACTACAAAAAAAACACAGCAATGATGATATGCATTTGTCACAGTAGGTCACGTTTTCTGTCAGTACATACGTGATAATTTTATGACAAAATCAAGATAGTCATCCTATGTTGTCGCGGAAGTGTTCCATGACAATAATCTATTTATCATCACAGAATGCGTCATGGAAGTGTTTTCGTCAAGGACAATCGACACATGGCAGCCAACGTAAATGGGTCACCGTTAAGCTATCAGGTGCGGGTTTTGGATCCGATGCCCGTTAACAGGCCCGGCCATTGAGGATTTTCCACGTGTCAATTTCTCATTCGCCAACAGAACCATGCATCAGCTCTGCGTTGCGACAAGTGTCGCCCATCAAACGGACGATACACATCAATGAAACGGTGACACGTGGCATGGCCCAACAGTGGCGGAGGACTTCGCCGGCTCCACTGAGGCGCCATCCCGTCGGCAACGAGGCAGAGAACATCGCAGACTCCGTCTATGTGACGCCCCAAGACCGATGCTCGAGAAGACTTCCATAGGTTCCGGGTTTCTCTGTGTGTTTCATTTTTGCTTGCTCCTTTTATTTTTGCATTGCATCATGTCATCATGCCATCATATCATTAATTTTTGCAACTCAACAAAATAAACCGTATGGATCTTTGATCCGTTTAAATTGAGGGAACTCATATGGTGGTTTCTCTTTAAAACATACTCTCCCGATATTTAGGGAGATATTGTAAAATATTCCATTTTTGGAATTCACCATGACACACTTGCAAATAATCACATGCCTTTTTCCCGCTTCAAGTTTGGTCCTCAAACTTTGCCCATATCTTCTTTCGTCGCTTTCCCGATCTCCACAAAAATTCCGAACATTTTTGGACTCTCCAAAAATGTTTTTCTAATTCAAACTTATTTGAATCACATTCAAATGTGTTTGAATGCAATCCTTTCAAGCGGTGCCAAATGCATTTTCTCGGAACGAACTCATTTTTATGAGTCCGGGAGATTTAACTGCATGCCCAAATTATTTCTCTAACTTCCCCCCTCTTTCTTTTTTCTCCTCTCTATGCTTTTTGTTAAAGGATATATATATATATATATATATATATATATATATATATAGAGAGAGAGAGAGAGAGAGAGAGCAGAG